CCAGACGCAGAGAATCCGCTGAAACCCGGAGAGGTGAGGTTGCAGGAGCCTGAGATCGTGCCACTGCCACTTTAGCCTGGGCAACAGGGCCAAGACGCCATCTGAAAAACAAAAACAAAACAAAACCTCTCAGTTTTCAGGTCTTCATTAATCTTACACAATTCAAATAAAATTCCAATGGTCTACATTTTTTAAAAGTTTTTTGATATTAAATATTATAAAAGTAATTTTTACTGTAGAAATTTTGGAAGATTACATAACAGCAAAGGGGAAGAGAAAAGCTGGGCCTGGTGGTGTGTGCCTGTAGTCCCAGCTACCTGGGGGGCTGAGGCAGGAGAATCGCTTGAACCCGGGAGGTGGAGGTTGCAGTGAGCCAAGATTGTGCCACCGCACTCCAGCCTGGCGACAGTGGGAGACTGTCTCAAAAAAAAACCCAAAAAACAGAAAAAAAAAAAGCATCACTGATCATTAGAGAAACGCAAATAAAAACCACAATGAGATACCATCTCATATAGTCAGAATGGCTACTCTTAAAAAGTCAAAAAAATACGAGACGCTGGCGAGGTAGTGAAGAAAAAGAAATTCAATATACTGTTGGTGAGAGTGTAAATTAGTTCAGCCCTTGTGGAAGGCAGTGTGGCAATTCCTCAAAGATCTAAAAAAGAAATATTTGACCCAGGCAGGGCACGGTGGCTCACGCCTGTAATCCCAGCACTTTGGGAGACCAAGGCGGGTGGATCACAAGGTCAGGAGTTCAAGACCAATATGGCGAAACCCCATCTCTACTAAAAATACAAAAATTAGCCCGGTGTGGTGGTGCGCACCTATAGTCCCAGCTACTCAGGAGGCTAATGTGGGAGGATCTTTTGAGCCCGGGAGGTGGAGGTTGCAGTGAGCTGAGATCGACGCCACTGAACTCCAGCCTGGGCGACAGAGTGAGACTCCGTCTCAAATAAAAAAAAAAGGAAAAAAAAAAAAAGAAATATTTGACCCAACAATGCCATTACTGGGTATATACCCAAACGAATACAAATCATTCTATCATAAAGATAACACGCACACATATGTTCACTGCAGCACTATTCACAATAGCAAAGATATGGAATCAACCTAAATGTCCATCAATGATGAACTGGATAAAGAAAATGTGGTACATATATACCATAGACAACTATGCAGTCATAAAAAAATAATGAGATCATGTCCTTTACAGGGACAGGGATGGAACTGGAGGCCATTATCCTATGCAAACTAACATGGGAACAGTAAACCAAACACCACATGTTCTCACTTATAAGTGGGAGCTAAATGATGAGAACATATGAACACACTGAGGGGAACAACACACACTAGGGCCTTTAGGAAGGTGAGGGTGGGAGGAAGAAGAGGATGGGTAAAAACAACCAATGGGTACTCAGCTTAATACCTTGGTGATGAAATAACCTTTACAACAACCCCCCAGGATGCGAGTTTACCTACGTAACAAACAAATCTACACTTGTACCCCTGAACTTAAAAGTTAAATAAATAAATAAATAAATAAGGTCTCCTTCTTTGATTTTCTGTCACTTCCGGATTGATAGCAGACTTTGTGTCTGCTTACATGTGTTCTGTCTCCCTCACAGAGAGGAAGTCTACCTGGGAGCAGTGTCAGCGTTAGGCTTCATCACTGCTCCATTCTGAGCACCTGGCTTAGTACCTATAAATGACATATGCTTCAGGCAAATTTGCTGACTAAATAAACAAATTAATAAATGACAGGTGAAAACCCACTCATTTTTAAAATGCTAGTTCTTTCCCTCTTTCACCATTGGTACTTGCTTCCATGTAGATCTGATGTGAGAGTTATATCCTATCTCTGCTGGATTCTGAGTTACAGCAGAGAAGCAGCAATGATGTCTTATACTGCTTTGCAGGCTATAATGGCGGTCTCTAACCTTTTTGGCACCAGGGACCGGTTTTGTGGAAGACAATTTTTTCACAGACTGAGGGCGGTAGGATGGTTTTAGGATGATATAAGTGCATTACATTTATTGTGCACTTTATTTCTATTATTATTCTTACATTGTGATATATAGTGAAATAATTATACAACTCACCATAATGTAGAAAGGAAATAGTTCAGATGTTCCACCTAAAAAGATAAACAAAACAAACCAAACAAAACCAGTCAGGTCTTGGAGCTTGCCTTTGTGCTAGACTTCCAACTCCATCCTCATTCCTATCTTCTTGTTTTTGTCCTTTTCACATATCCATTCTTCTCCATTTCTCTTTTTCCTTTTCTTTCTTTCTTTTTTTTTTTTTGAGATACAGTCTTGATCCGTCGCCTAGGCAGGAGTGCAGTGGAGTGTACTCCTTGGCTCACTGCAACCGCCACCTGCTGGGTTCAAGCAATTCTCCTGCCTCAGCCTCCCAAGCAGCTGGGACTGCAAGAGCCCTCCACCAAGCCCGGCTAATTTTTGTATTTTCAGGAGAGACAGAGTTTCTTCATGTTGGCTAGGCTGGTCTCGAACCCCAGACCTCAAGTGATCCGCCCGTGTCGGCTTCCCAAAGTGCTGGGATTACAGGCGTGAGTCACAGCATCTGGTCCATTTCTCTTTTTCAATTATCTTAAAATGAAACCAAAACAAAAGGAACATCTCTCAAGAAAGAGTTTTATAATCATATTAACAATAACTTTTCCATGACCATAAATTAAAATTACCTTGCCTGGTGCGGTGATTCACGCCTGTAATTCCCACACTTTGGGAGGCTGAGGTGGGCGGACCACTTGAGGCTGGGACTTCAGGACCAGCCTAGCCAACATGGTGCAACACTGTGTCTACTAAAAATACAAACATTAGCCGGGCTTGGTGGCAGGAGCTTGTAACCCCAGTTACCTGGGAGGCTGAGGCAGGAGACTTGCTTGAACCCGGGGTGCGGAGGTTGCAGTGAGCGGAGATCGCGCCACTGCACTCCAGCCTGGGTGACAGAGCGAGACTCTGTCTTAAAAAAAAAAAAAAATTAAAATCAGCTTACTAATTTATCTCAGCATTCTATTTGTATCTTCTTAGCAGTTTTGGTCATTTGTTTACAACTATATTTCTTCTTGAGATAATGTTCTATTTTTCCCCAATGCCCATTTGTTAAATGTGCTCCTTTTTCTTTTCAGCGTTTGTATTTTAATAGGAAAAAACATTTATTACAAAGAATGAATATGTAATGGTGGAATTTCAGGTTTTGAAAATAAGAATGTGCATAAAACATCTAAATTCAAGAACCTCCTACTTTGTAGATTGGGAAGGCATCACGTATCAAATGGATCTATTTCAAGAGAAGTCTGGATAACTTCCATTTACTAAAGGCTTTGTTCCAAAGGATCTCCTTTGTTACTACCTCATGTTATGTAAATAAAATCATAATCAGTTATATTGCCTCAAATGGACGACTTCATTTTCAACACATGTGCAATAGAACTGCAGAGGGTGGTTCAAGATAATACCCTAGCCTGCGATTTGGTGTATTTTGAATAAATGAATAAAAGTTGTCAGCCCTGAGCGCCCCGACTCCCAATACATGCAGAATAGCAGAGGTGTACTGAGCCTTTATTTATTTTTTTTTAATATAGTTCATTCACTCAACAAACATTTACTGAGAATATCTCAGACCAGCTGATGCTTAGGGAAATAGAAAAGAACAAACGTTGAATATCGGGGGTGGGGTTTCCCCTGATACCTGCGAATGCTTGGGACATCAGGGCACAACAAAAAGGCCAAAGATTCCTGTGTCCACATCCTGGGGTGGTAATGGGGTGAGGGACAGATTGTACAATAAAAACCTAGGATTCACTCCATGAAAATGTTGTCGTTTTTCTAGTTGAGCTGGTAAATTGGACTGTGAAGAAAGAATGCCCTAAGCACAGTGGTAAATTCACAACCAGGGCCCAATACTAGATTCGATTCATTCACTGACACGCTGGTTGCTAATTACAAGTCTGAAATCCATCAAGGTAGTTAACATCCCTAAACATCAAAGTAATAGCTGTTTTAGGCCCTAAGAAAGTGCAGCCCGGAGAAGTATAAATGGAAAATGTGCTAAGGCTGTTATTTAAATTCTATTCAAATCAAATGTGGCTTGCCTATTTTCAATCTGACTTATAATTTTGGCCAACCAAGCTACGTTGGGCTGTGTTCCTCGGCTGCCACAAATCATCCTCACAGGCTGAAAGCTCAACTGCTTCGTGCTCTTTATTTTTTTATGCCTATGCCAACGTTGCCGATGTGGTAAAGCTGTCACCACGCCGTCAGGAGGGCTGCCTCCTCTGGCGCGAGCAGCCTAAGAGGCTTCCGGCTGCTGCGGCGTGAGCTCCGATTTGATCAGACGCCACTCAGGAAAGGGATTTAGATAGTGGCCATTTTTCAACTAAGTGCGTCTGCCGCACTCAATAGCAAAGCAAAAGCCACGCTTTCTAATCTCCAGTTAGGCGTCCAAGAGGAAGAAAAGTGGCCCTTGCTGGCTGAGGGAGCAGCGTGTCTGCAATCACAGCCGCGTTTCGCCTCCTGGTCTTTTCCTCAATGTGGGATTGTCTTTTTGTTTTCTGCCTGGTCTAAGCTGGCCCCACAGAAAGAACAGACCAGACAAGCTTACTGAGGTAAAAAGTAGGGGCGGCGGTGAGGTCTAGAGGGTCTCCTCGGAACTAGGCAGAGACGCCAGCAAAAAGCGCCTTACGGCCAAGCTAACTCAGGCCTAGCAAAATACCCACCCGACTCTACCGCCTCTCCGGCCAAGGCCGTCGCTACGGACAAGAGGGCGGTGCCGCCACACCTTCGCGCGAGACCAGCCACGCGACTTCCCAGAAGGCCTCAGGCAACATCTTAATAGCAGCCAGGAAGCCGGACCAGAGCGGAAGGGTGGGCGGGGCTTGCCCGCATATTTAGCGGCACCCGAGGCCACGCCCCAGATCGGAAGTGACGGAGACGAGCTAGCGCGTCGAAGGTACCTCTATGGTTTTCCTCGCGTTCTTGAGTCGGGAAATGGCCGCTGTGTGGTTGCAACGGAGATAAATCCTCGGAACCGCGATTCGGCGTGTCAGGTAGGCCTCGCGCTGTATTCAAGTTACTCAAGAAGCAGTGAAGACCGAGGACAGGCCATATTTTTGACTCTTCTGTGGGTGGTGACGGGTTGGCGGCAAAAGGAGAACGAAGGAGACGTTGCGCCGTTATTTGTGCGTTTTTTCGTCAGCTTCCTTCATGTTTTCGAGGCATTACGGGCCGAAAAGGCCGGGCGGGGGCGCTGAGCAGTGCTAACGGCGCGCGCGCTCGTGTTTGCGAACCTGGCTCGAGACCCAGAGCCCGCGCGGCCTCCGGTGCGCGTGCGCATATATTCCTCTTCCACCCTTCCCCCATTTCTTCAGCCTGTATCCCTGCGCGCGGCCGCCTGAGCCTTCCGCGCACGCGCGCTCGTTCCTTTCTTTCTACCCCGCCTACGGCGCCGACGGCCGCCAGAGGTGCAACTTGTGTCCGCCTCTCATTGGCTGGGACTGCCACCTTTCTTCCTGGCCTTTGGGGTTTTGAGAAAATAACTGTGACCCGCAGCAAAGTGCGTGGAGTAGGTCTGCCCCTTTTCTCGTGGTCTTTAAAACAACTCCCCAGCTTCAGACTACCCGTCAGTTGATGCCTCGTTTTTGTGATGCTACTAGGTTTTAGGGCTCTGTTCTGCCCCTCGCTGCTGACCCTGGTTCTCTGGAGTTAATTTCAGTACCCCCTGCAACCCGCTGTTTTGAAGCTAGCGCGCGCTGTTGACTTGTGGTGGTTGCCTAGTTACGTTTCCCTAGCGAGGGGATTGGGTCTTAGCTGGTGGTTCTGAGCCTGGCCCTGCCCCATTCGGCTGAAAGTGCGGTTCTTCACGAGTACTAGCGAAGCCGAGTCTTCGGCAAGTGATTCAGCCCGTTTAGTCGTGTCAGAAAAGTTGCAGCCACAATTGATAGACAGCTGGTGTGAGAAATGGGTGGGAGTGGCGAATTGGACTTTGCCTTCATTTTAAATTCATGAGTTGGCTTTTAAGATTCGCTTTTAAAATTTATTTCTTCAGAATCAAGCTGAAGTACCAGCAGCTACTTTGCTACCTCAGACTTTTTGAAAAAGCATTTTAGAATTGGAAAAAAATTAAGACAAGTTGAAAGCAAGTGTGGCTAACACTGATGAAAAAGATGAACTACTTCAGACTTGTATCTCATTGCAACAGCGTCTTTCAAATTTTTTGGTATTACAAAGCAAAACAAAATGTATTGCCCCTCGTGTGAATTCTCATTTCAGTTCGACTCTAGTTGAAATGTTAGGATACTGTTTAGGCAGTAAATAACCTTTACGTAGGAAAAACTGCTACAAGGTTTGTGCATTTTTGATCATAACCGATTCAGGATAAATAATTTGATGGGAGGGAAAAAGTGACTCCTCGGCGGGAGTTGAGGCTGCGGGGAGCTATGCTCGTCCCCCTGCACTCCAGAGGGGGCAACAGAGCGAGACCTTGTTACTTAAAAAGGTAGCTCATGGTAAACAACCTTGGAGCATCTTCTCTTAGTGATATCATACTTTAACCATTACATTGTGGTGAACACTGAAATATCTTCTTTAATTCAGGTAATTAAAATGGTGGCAAAGGAGACTGTTTAGCCAGAGCCCTTCTTAACTTTGAAGAACAGTGGTATTGTAAGACTTGGTGACAGACCTGTAGGTCTGATAGGCCTACTGGTAGGCTCAGCTCAGGTCTGGTTTATTTATTTATTTATTTATTTTTGAGACGGAATGTCGCTCTGTCGCCCAGGCAGGAGTGCAGTGGCCCAGTCTAGGCTCATTGCAACCTCCCGTCTCCGGGTCCAAGCGATTCTCCTGCCTCAGCCCCCCGCCCCCCTCCCCCCCAGCAGCTGGGACTGCAGGCGCCCGCCACCACACCCGGCTAATTTTTGTATTTTTGGTGCAGATGGGGTTTCACAATATTGGTGTCGAACTCCTGACCTCAGGTGATCCACTCGCCTGGCCCACCCAAAGTGCTGGGATTACAGGGGTGAGCCCCTGTCCCCGTCCTCGGTTGAATTTATTAAACTTTTGTGGGCAGCAAGCTGTAAGAGGTTAACTATGTGATGAGAAGACTTAGAAATGGAGGAAGTTTTATCAGTTCTATGTAGGGCTTAGGTTGGGAGTTTCCGGAAACTACGTTGGAAATCAGTAGTTGCACACTAGCTGAATTCAGCTGTGTAATTTACAGTGGTTTGTTATTTAGTAAATAAGTAGAAGAGGGAATTAAGAAGCTAAAATCTCTGGGTACTTGTTGGATATGAATTTGTTAATTGTTTACACTCAGGTAATAAGTGTTACCTCAGTCATAGCATTTAATATGTTCTGACTGTTCCTAAGGCTGAAAACCAGCTAGTATACTAACACGAAGATAATACTAGCCTGTATTTGTGTAGTATTTTAGAGGTTTTTTTTTTGTTATTTGTTTAATTTTATTTGTTTATTTGTTTGAGACAGAGACTAGCTTTGTAGCCCAGGCTGGAGTGCAGTGGCGCCATCTCGGCTCACTGCAACCTCCGCTTCCCTGGTTCAAGCGATTCTCGTGTCTCAGCCTCCCAAGTAGCTGGGACTACAGGCGCCCGTAATTTTTCTTTTTTCTTTCTTTTTCTTTTTTTTTTTTTTTTGAGACACACGCTTGCTCTGTCGCCCAGGCTGGCGTGCAGTGGCGTGATCTTGGCTCACTGCAACCTCTGCCTCCCAGATTCAAGTGATTCTCATGCCTCAGCCTCCCCAGTAGCTGGGATTACATGGGATTACAGGTTCACGCCACAAAGGCCGGCTAGTTTTTCTTTTTCTGTTTTTGAGATGGTGTCTTGCTCTGTCATCCAGGCTGGAGTGCAGTGGCATGATCTTGGCTCACTGCAACTTCCACCTCACGGGTTCAAGCGATTCTCCTGCCTCAGGCTCCAGAGTAACTGAGATTAGAGGCGACCGCCGCCACGCCCTGCTAATTTTTATATTTATAGTAGAGACAGGGTTTTGCCATGTTGGCCAGGCTGGTCTTGAACTCTTGACCTGGGGTGATCCGCCCACCTTGGCCTCCCGAAGTGTTGGGATTACAGGCGTAAGCCACTGCATCCAGCCCAGACATTTTATTAAGCATGTCTGGAAAGACTTCTAAATGATGTTGATTAATGCTGTATCAAAAATATTAAGGTAACCTTACATGCAAGAATCATTTTAAGTAAACGTGGTTAGCTTGTAGAAAGGCTGCCTAAACAAGGTTTACCAATAATGATGGCTAATGCTAGATTGTATACCATGAGCCAAACATTAAACTAAGCTGTTTACGTGCCTTAGTTCATTTAACCCTGTACTTGTAAGGAAGTACCATAGTAGCCTTAAAAAAACAAACAAAAACAAAAAACAAAAAAACACCAACAGAATTTGAAGCTGACAGATTAAGTTAACTTGTTCAGTGTTGGTCAGTTAGTTAATGGCTGAGCCAGGATTTGAATCTAGTCAACTGGAATAATAGTCATGGACTATATTTTTAGGATTTGAAAAGATGGAAATAGTATTACTTTGTTTACAACAATCTGGGGACCAAACTCCTTGAGTCTGCTAAAATGAAGACTAGGATCAAGTATGCTTGAAATCGTAATCTTAAAGAATTCATTTTGGGTGGCTTTGTCTTGGATATTTTGTTGAATCCACTTTCTTTGGTCTGATCAAATTTTCTCTTTTTTTTTTTTGAGACAGCCTTGCTCTTGCCCAGGCTGGGGTGCAGTGGTGCAATTTTTGCTCACTGCAATCTCTGCCTCCTGGGTTCGAGTGATTCTTCTGCCTCAGACTCTGGAGTACCTAGGACTATAGACGTGCACCACCACGTCTGGCTAGTTCTGGTATTTTTAGTAGAGACGGGATTTCCCCATGTTGGCCAGGCTGTTCTCGAACTCGTAACCTCAGGATCTGCTCACCTCGGCCTCCCAAAGTGCAGGGATTACACGGTGAGCCACCATGCCTGGCCTGATATAATTGTTTTCTAGCTAGTTTCTGATCACTTATGTTCTAGCTGGTCATTATGTATTATTTCATGAAAGATAGGCTCTGTTTAGATATTTAAGAACCTTATTTTTAAAAATAAAACCTGCTTTATTTTATCCTGTGTTCCTCATTGGTTAGTGTGTCAATTGGCTAAAGATACATACTGCAATTTATTCCTTATCTCTCTATACAAGTGGGAATCTATTAAATGATCTTGGTTGTAATAAAGGGAAGATTAATTTGGCATTTTTAATTCTGTATTTGGGTTTTGGCCACCTCAGGCACCTTTTAGGGTATTGAAGAAAGAGCACTGGAGTTGGAGTCAGGAGATTTCAGTCAAATTTTGGATTAACCATTTACAGTCCGACTATGGGCACAAAAAACGGCAAACGTATCTTTTGTTTTCTCCCTCAAACTTGTCCTTCTCCGAGATGTTTACATCTAAAACCTAGAATTTAAGGGCACTAGTGATTTTTCATTTTTCCTCTCTCTGTACTTCACACCCCTAACAATCCATTAACAAGTCATTTTGACAAACCACATCTTGAATTTGCCTCTTTTTTTCATTGCTGTTTATTTTTTATATAGAAGCCATCTTAAAATGAAATCAGATGAGTGACTCACCCAAGCAAACCCTGCAAGGGTTTCTCAGCCAAGTAAAATCCTGACCCCTTTTGGTGATCTACTAGATGCTATTTGATCTGGTCCATTCCTCCTCCTGCTGCCTTACTTCATACGCTCAACTCCTTGATCACATTGCCTCAACCTTCTTATTGGTGTTTCTGTCCTGAATTTGCTAAGTTTGTGTCCTCTGCCTAGTATGCTTTTTCCTCTGTGGATCTTTTCTGTGTTCCCTGTCCTTAGACCCAAATGTTACCTCCTTAAAGAGGGCCCAAGGATCCACCTAAGTAGTGCCCCCGCCCACCTCCTCTGCATGTCAACTTGTACTTTTTCCCCCCTCTCCAATGTGGCACTTGCCACTATTTGATTTTTTTCTTGTTTTCTGTCTTCCCCTCTCTGAAAGCTTC